TATGCACGCACGCACGCACGCACGCACGCACGCACACACACATTTGTTTTTAGTTTTCACAGGTACTCTTTGTATGACAGTTGGTCTTGGGTTTAAGAAAGCTGGCAGATAATAGTCAGAATTTTTTTTTATCTCTCGCACTCCCAGATCGAACTTGAATACAAAAGTTCACGCAACTTTGTATTTTATATTTGTCAAAACCCCAGATTTTCAATTTTGGCCCCATGAGCAAAAAGTGCAGAGCGATCTCGTGTCAACAAAGCAAGCTGAAGCGTGCCTTGGAAGCATCTGGAAGTTTTTGAAGAATAAAGTGGGCGTATCATGGAGGAAAACTACAGGTTGAAAGAACACACGTCTTTTCCTTACGCAGAAAAGTGAAAAAAAGGCAGAATTTACGACGAAGTGAAGATGACGAAGTATGAAGGTAAAGTGGACTTTGGCTTTTAGGAAACACGCAACTAAATGATTTATTTGTCTTGCTGTAAATAACCAATTTCTTTTTCTTTCGTTTTTTAACACACAGCTTTAATAGCAGGCCAGGTTTCTTTAAATGTAGCAGTGCGTTTCCTTCTGGGCACATGTATTTGTTTATAAAATGCACACATTATTAGATCTTCTGATTTTGCTTGAGTTTACTTGAATTAATGTGACTGATTTCGTGCAATCTGTTCAAGTTATTCACCATTTCCTTTGAGGTACCAAAACTTCTAAATTTCAGTTTCTCGTATTCTGTACTCGATCTACATGTATTTAAAATGCCTTCAGCGGTTTTAAGTTTAAAGGAAAACTTGCAGCACACAAAGTGAATAATAATATATCTCTCCAAAATTTTACGTTATTGATGGTAAGTCGGACATAAAAAACCCAAAACGAATAAAGAACATACTATTAATAAAAGAAAGGAATATGCTTTTGAAAAAAAAAAAAGTATCAGTTGCGTGTGACCTCCTACCAGAAAGTGAAGTGATTTGGGGGTGGATGAGGAGCATCTATGACGTAACACTCTCTCTCTACACCTACTTTAAACGTGTTCTCTGATGCCCTGTTAATCGGTCGTTGTTATCGATTCCGCAGGCGCAGCCTCCTTTCGCCCTGGAGTGTAGTATAGTATACACAGGGATAAAAACCATAGATTTGTATGACAATATCCTAGACCATGCACTCTGGTGTATATTTCCGGTTCACTATGGAGCGCACCATTTGACCCAATTGTTAGTACACAATTATCAAACAACAATAAGAAAGACAGTAAATATTCTTTGTGGAAAAACAATGAGTTCAGCAGCCATGGCGAGGAGGGCAACATACAGAACGCGCCACACGGATTACGTGGGTCGAATCGTTTCTCCGTACTTTTCCTGAAATATATTCTGAAACAACTCTTAAGTGTTCTGCTTTCAGAATAACTTAAACTGTGTCTGGTATAATAGACAACAAAATCATCATCAGCAACAAACAACAATAACAACAACAACAAAATCCACAACAGCAACATTATAATAATAATAATAATGATAATAATA